AGCTTATCACTCACCTACTAAAATTTGCTCAGGAGCTGTCTTAGCCAAAGCATCGGGTCAACATATTTATGACTGTGGTACGTTCATCTTTAGACCTTTTAAAAAGTTATGATCCCTGTGTTAGTAATCAAGTCTGAAATGTTTTTTACTTTTAAATTCCTTCTCCTGATAGATCATTTCCATACTTTTGAATTAAAATCAGCAAACCCTTTGATTCTTCATGTTGCTCTCACAGCGTCCATTCTCGACATTTTCGGCCAATCTTCCAATTCGATTACCAAATGGATGCTGGATGTTCAGACTATCACCATCGAACTCTCAACCACTCACGGTATATTACCTACTAATTCTGACATCCGAAAGCTTTTGCCAGAAGAGGCCAGCACGTTGAAGAAGATACCCAAGTCTGTTGAGACTGCCTTTCAATGGTTGAATGTAAATCCAACACTCACCTTCATGACCTGCTGTAGTTCTTGCTTTGCAATGTACCCGGAAAGCTGTACACCATCCGTATGTCAGCACCTTGTCGCCAACATTCCAGGTGGACCTACTGATTCTGTTGATCAAAACAACGACACGACTTCATCACCGCCTGCAGAGGACTCTGAGCCAGACTTTTCAGAAAAGATCTGCGGTGAGCCGCTTTTCAAACACTTCCGTGGTCTTCAGAAGCCAGCTCGACGTTATGCTTTCCAGAGCCTATCTGATTGGATATCACGGCTTCTCTCACGTCCTAAAATCGAACAATCACTTGAAGTTACATCATCTGAATCTGCCCAGCCTTACGATGCCAATGCCAAAATTTTCGACATATATCAATCTAGACTCTGGAAAGAATTTCTAGGCCCCGATGGAAAGCAATATACTGCCAATTCTAGTCACTTGACATTTGCGCTATTCGTGGATGCTATCAATCCATTTGGTAACAAGCAGAGTGGTCATCATACATCAATCACATTTGTCATTCTAGTTTGTCTCAGTCTACCTCCTGCCCTCCGACATCGCCCTGAGAACGTATTTGTAGTAGGGATTGCTCCGGGCCCCCGCGAACCTTCTCTGGAACAAATGAATTGGATCTTGCAACCACTGGTTACAGAACTTCAAGCTTTATGGTTGACTGGCTTATTACTATCTCGAACTCAAAAATACCCTCAGGGACGTCTAATCAGAGCAGCACTACTTGTATTTGTTGCTGATATACCTTCTCTTCGTCGATGTCTCGGATTCCCCAGTGCTACAGCGACCTTCTTCTGCTCTTTTTGTCTCCTCAATAAGAAAGATATCAACAATTTTGATCAAAGCACATGGCCACCTCGTACATGGTGCCAGCACACCAAATGGGCACGTGAAGCTCGTGATGCAAAGACCGTTGAAGAACGAAAGAAGATCTTTAAGACCCATGGAGTACGTTACTCCGTACTGATAGAGTTGGAATACTGGAACATTATTGAGTATCAAGTTGTCGACTCAATGCATAATTTACTTCTTGGTCTATCTTCATGGCACGTACGTCGTTTCTGGGCAATGAAGGACCTTGAAAATGAGGAAGAGATATTACCACCAATCAGTACAGTGGAACTCTTGAATCTCGTGGCTGAGTACTCTGAACCTTTACCCCGAAATCAACCATCCACGCCTCAATCTCAAAGAGACGATGAAGAGACTGGAACGGCCATTAACGATGCTGAATTCTCCAATCATACATCATCAAGTGATAATGATTTCGAACCTTTTAATGATGATGGGTGGAATGGAGACTGGCATGCTCCCCCTCTTGAAGAGATTGTCTTCGACGCTACCGTCCTCCGCCACATCAATTCAATTCTTCCCAAAATCCATACCCCTACTTGGATTAAACGACCAATCCCCGTCTTAGGGAAAGCTTCCTTCGGAAAATTGAAAGCTGACGAATGGAGGAGCTTGTTGACTTTGCAACTTCCGCTCATTCTTATTCCAATGTGGTCTCGCCAAGACCATATAAAAAGATCCCTACTAAGGAACTTCATTCACTTAGTTTCACTCATCAATATTGGTCTCAAGCGTGTCATGGACTCATTTCAAATCAAACGCTACCGCCACCACATTCAAAAATACCTAGAAAGCTCTGTATTAATCTTTCAACATTGCAAACTCGCTCCAAATCATCATATGGCTATTCACCTCGCTGATTGCCTAGAACGATTTGGACCGGTGCGTGCGTGGTGGTCGTTTCCTTTCGAGCGTCTGATGGGAAAGATCCTCAAAGCAGGCCATAATAACCATATCAGTGAGTCAGAATGTGTTTAGATTTGACTCTTTATGGGGGTTGGACTTACTAATCATTCATTTATTACTCCCTTCGTTCCAGCCGAGCTCGAAATTACTTTTCTCAAACAATTTTGTCGGGCATCTAATCTATCAGCTCTAATTGAAGATGACAAGTTACCAGAAGCCCTTGAGCAGTATAGTGTGCGCCTTCAAGCATTATACAAACAACCTGCGCCCCGAGCAAATCGTCCATCACACTCTAAGATGTCGCCTCTATCAGATGTTGTCCTTGATCTTTTAGTCGCATACTTGAATGATACAGAAGGCGAAAGATGTATCTGGATTCGCCCCGACAAGTGGGCCTCACTGAGCAAAAGCGATTCACTTGCATACGCCCCGGTACCGGCTCAAGGACAGTTCTACAAGCGCATCAACTACAATGATGGATTTGTCTCGACGTTCACCGATAATCCGGACAACTCTTGCATCTATTTCAAAAATACAGACGGTAGAGATTCCTTTGGCCGAGTGTTCTCAATATTTTCTCATCTTAGAGCTGCAGTAAAATCCGAGAGCATCAGTGATGTTTGGTTACACGTACAATGTTTTCGCTTCCCAAACCTAGTACATATTTCAATGCTTTCAACTTCACTGACCACGTTGATGTACAGTGTGCTCTGAGAATGTGGAGTCCCACTGAGAACAAAGTCATCAAGCTAAAAGAAGTGATTGCGCAATGTACATGGATCATGTACAAAGCAGGGGAAATGAACAAGGATGTAGAGGTACCTACAATCGGTATGATTATCCTCAAGCGCTGATTTGGTATAGCTTATCATTGTTAGTTTTGTAAGGACACACACATGTTTTGTACCTGATTTATTTTGAATCTTGGGTTCTGATTTTTTCTTTTCATTACCATAGTGGATTAGATAGATAACTCATTGAAATTCAAAATGTTGTGACAAGTAGAGATGTATGTACAGAATGAAGAGGTTTCAAAGGACTTTGTCTTTGAGCTGTTCTAGTGAAACCAATGTTCCCTTGAAATCCTCAAGAGAGACTTTGTTTCTTCTGGTAGATATCAACATCACTGCAGCACAGTGCCTCATAATTCTTGAAATGATCTTGACTCCATGCGGGCATGAAAACCGCAGCGCTTGTAGGGTGAGAGCTTGGGTGTATGCACAGTAATTTTGAATGTCAATTGTGTACAGGAACAAATAGCAAGATCTCATTTTTGTGTCATCTTTGATGTACTGATCTCAAGAGTTCAGAAAATCAACAAGAATTTTCTATCTCAAAATAATTTTCTGAACTCCATGGTAAATTTCTGATCTGGCGTAGTGTGTGTTGATGCAGAAAAATGTAGTGTTGAATTTTAATGAATTGCACATACAGAATTCTTTCAGAATTACACCATTTTCAAATAACACTAAAGAAGATGTGGGCATGCCTGCAAGAGGTGAAATGTTCTTAACCCAAATTATCAAATTGAAGATAGTGTAATACAAATATAAACAGTTTTTAACCTGTTCAAAGTTTTCCACACTGTTATTCTGAATTTTATTACAAGGCACAAATTTGTCCCCTATCTACATAAGTCTTGAATTCATATGCAAAGCTTAATTTTGGTGGAGTTGAGTGATTACTTTATGTACTATTACCTGTATGAATTCTTGGGTTGTATTTGAAGTGAAATCTAGACTTCAGAGAACTTCATCAAATAGTTACTAATATCACTCCAATGAAAAAACTCTTGACCCTCTTTCAATTTATTCATGAGTTAAAGATTGAGAGGATCATGGGATTTCACAAAGATCTTGTTTACTGATCAAAAGAAACCTTTGGTTAGGATTGAGTATTTTTTTCCTCATCTCATAACCTAATCTGTTTACCTCAAGCTGATTCATTAATCAGTAATCAGTAATCACCAAACCAACTTTAAACTCTTCATCTCTCTGGCTCTTTTTCCTAAACATCACCAATAATCATTTTCATTCATCTCTTTACAAAAACAAAAAGAAACCCCAGATGACCAAGAAAATAAACCAAAAAGTCATCACAAGCCAAGACAAGCATTACAATACAATACAATACATAACAAACACACACACACACATTCTACAATCAAAATCAAAATCAAAAAGAAACCAACGAAATAAACCCAGTCTTTTTTTAAATCTTTTTCATCCAAAGTTCTAAAAAAAATCAAAAGAAAAAGAAAACCATGATTGTCCAAACAGAAGATATTTTTTCTTTGGAGAGGGGGGTGGGGTAAGTTCGATTTCTTAACAAATCTTATGATCAATCAATGATTCAAACCGATCATCATGAACCGAAAAAAGAAAAAAAAGGAAAAAAAAATACAAACAATAATAAAACAAAGGCAAAAAAGGGATTTAGAAACGAGAATAAGATCAAAGAAAAATCAGAAGGAGGGAAATAGAAATACAATTTCAAAAAGCAAAATCAGAAGAAAAATCAAAAGAAGAAAAACCAAAAAAAGAAATAAAAGAAAAAGATTCGAAACCAAAGACTAAAGATACCAAATCAAAGACCAAAAAAAAAGAAACCAATCAATCCATTAAACTCATACACCCGATTTCTTTCTTCCCGTATTTCCACGCTTTTCATTCAAAGAAGAAATCCAAATAAGTAAAATCCAATGAAAAAAAAAATCAAAAAATCCAACCAATCAAATCATCAAATCATCAAGAAAATCCAGTTCAATCCAATTCTTTTCTCTTCTTACTACTTTTAAGAATCGAATTCAAATCCTAAAGTTTTCAAGTTAATCTTAAGAAGTAGAAGCTTCATCAATTCTAGAAACCAAAATCGCACCAATACTAGGTTCGATTTCAGTTCCATCTCTACTAACTTTAACTTCACGATGACCACTGTACCAAAAAAACCACACCAAAAAAATCAGTTAACCGAAGTAAAAAGAAAAGATCAAATTCGAATTTGAAGAAGAAAAAGTTCACTAAACTTGAATGGGTTCTTAAGATCACGAGTCAAATGAAACGGTAATTTCTGTACCTTGATCCATTCAATCTCAAACGGTCTACCATCCCCACCCACCGAATCTTCCGATCCCATCACCTCTTCCTCTTCCCCCTCATCATCCAATCCTTCCGTTTCCTTCACAACCACTACCACCCCCCCAGATTCCTTAGCCTCTTTCTTTTCAACTGATGTTTCTAATCTGATCAATTCAGGTAATGATCTACTAGGACCACCCGTTAATGAGATCGGAGGAGCCAGTCCGATAAAAGGTACACAAGGCGAGATCGGAACGGGCGAAGCCGTCGTTCTTCTTTCTTGAAAAGCAGGCAGTAATCTTCCTTCCAATCCTGTTTTTTCTTCTTCCAATCCTTCATCTTTCTCAACCAAAAGTGGTGGTAATGGTAAAACTAAATCATTGGCTGATGCTCTTCTATTAGTAATCAAAGAAGGTCTTGAGATTGGTGAGTTAGGTACCGAAATAGGTGGATGGATCGATCTCCAAATCGGTCCGGTCATCTTTGCATAACCATAAAATTCACCACTTCGATTGGCACTAAAGATTAAATAAACTCCTTCTGATGAAGTTCGATAGGCTTGATCTAAGATCGGTTCATTATGTGATTGTGATGCCCAAACTGATCTTTCGACTGATAAATTTAAATCTTCTTCGGTATATGACTAAGATCACAATTTCCAAAAAAAAAAGAGAAGATCAGCAAGAGAAAAAGTAAGAAGAAATCAAAAGAAACACTTACCTTTAAAATAAAGTATCGACGAGGGAAATGTCTAGAAAGGAAAGACGAACTAGTCGAAGCTGTACCAGAGGAATTGGTCTGATTAGAATTAAAAGTAGAAGTCGAAGAAGTTCGTTTACATTGATCTTCATTACCAATCGATCGGCTCTGTTGTAATTTAACATCTCGATCGATGATTTCATTTGACTTGATCGTTTTCCTTATCCAACTTCGATGCATTCCTCCAATCCTTTGAGCACCTACTCCACTCTTTACATTATCTTCTGGATTCCTTACTCTACATACTAATGGTTTAGATCTTGGATCAAAGGGTCTTAGAGTTTTTCCATTACAAACCGTGATGGCATGTTGAAGATGAACTTGTGAAAGATAATTCACAAATGCACAATTACTACGTGAGATCAAATGAATCGATTCGACACCTGATGTTGATGGAGTAGAATGAGGACCTGAGAAAAACTTCCAAAGTTCTTCATGTGACGCATCATTCGGTACGTTTCCTACCCAAAGTGCATGTTCACTATGAGAAGGAGGACGAGGGAGAGCTGGTTTTTGAGATGATTTCGAATGTCTTGGTTTATGAGAATGATGGATAGCTTGGGTATTGAAAGGTTGAGATCCAATTGGATTGAGTTTGAGACGATGATTCCGAAGTTTAGCTTGAGCAAGTGAACCTCTGACTAAAGAGTTGATCGGAGGACTTGTAGGTGATTTAGGTTCATGAGTCGAATGAGTCGAAGTAGGAGAATAAGATGTTTGGTGTAGAAAAGGGAGAAAAGGAGATGAATGATTTAGATGATGATTTAGATGATGGTGATGATGATGAGATCTAGAACCGAATGGAGGACGAGATCTAGGTGAGTTGAAAGGAGTGTTGAAAGCTGAAGGAGAAGAAGGAGGGATTTGATAAGATCTCTCATTGATTGGAAAATGAGAAGGAGTAGGAGAGAATGAATCAAAAGAAGGAGGAGGAGAGTTTGATTGATGATGAGAAAAGTTAAGATAAGAGATTGGAATCGGTTGAGGTGGTTGAGGTGGTTGATGATGATAAGTTGATTGATAAGGTGAAGAAGGATTTGAATGAGCTTGATGAAGTGGATTGTAATAAGATGAATGATGATCTAAAGTAGGAGATTGAAAGTTTGAAGAAGAATAAGGAGAGAATGATAAAGAAGGAGGAGGAGGAGGAGAATAAGTTGAATGAATCAGATTAGATTGAGATTGAGATGGTTGAATAGGTAATGGTGGTGGTATTGAATAATGAGGAGTAGTACTTGGTAATGGTGAAGTATTGAGATGATGAAAAGGTAAAGTTGATGGATTTGAAGAGTTTGAGATTGAGTGATGATGATGATGGTATGGTTGGTATGGTTGATAAGTTGATTGATGGTGATATGACTGGTTATTTCGAATAGTGGTGGTAGTGGTAGTGGTAGTGGTTGATGGTGGTGGTGGTGATGATGATGTTTCTTGAGTCATTCTGGTATTGATCACCAATTGATGAACTGATGAGCTGAGATTGGATTATAAATTATATTTGATCGATCATTCAAGATTCCTTTCTTTCCTTTCTTTGTTTTCTTTGTTATTCTTTGATTTGTTTTGTTTCTTTGATTGAGATGTTCTGATGTTGATTTGATGATAATAATAATACAATCTTCACTTTATCTTTTTCAATCGATCGATCAATCCAAAGAAATAGAATGAAATAAAATGAAATGAAGATTCCCCTAAATTATTTTTCCAAATAATGAAACTGATGATATATACCACTCACTCACTCACTCTCTGACTCCGAACTGCACCGCTGATATAAGTTGTTGAATGGTGAATTGGCACAGCTGATTTGTTAAAACTGCAATCGATCGAATCGAAATTTCAAACAAGTCTCCAATTTGAATTTTCAAACTAAAACTTAAATCCACTTCTGCAATTCACTACTCAAACTCCGCTTTAATCCTTCTTTTGCTTTGTAAATCAAACTTATCTATTTATCACTCATCAACACTCACTCACCATCACCATCTCAATCCATAATAACATCCAAAAGACGCTAATTTAACTGTTAATCCAAAAATATCTTAGAATCCATTCATTCACTTGACAGTGACTCATTGATTTGCTTTCTTTATCACCACCTTATCATCTGATCATAATATCTTATCTACCTCCGAAGAAATCCAAACTAAAAATTAAAAACCTTTGCCCTTCTATTTCCTTTCCACATGACTTACTCATAATCAATTCATCACACTCACACACATAAACGCTCTTTTGTTTATTTGTTTAGATATCACGACTTGAAATTTCGGAGAAAAGAAAGTTAAATAATGAATAACTCCAAATACTCAACTTACACACACATATAAAGCTTCTTCTAATCATAAACAGCCTGAAAACGTGCGCATCAGTTCTGTATGGATGACCGATTTCACGTTTTAAGAAATCGATCAATTTTCAAGGTCTAGATTCTATTGAGTTATAATAGATTGGATTTAGTATCTAGCTTTTTGATTCACAGACTAAGTACAGATGTGAAGATTGAAATCCGATCAAAAAGACTTTCATATCTTCTATTCTTCCATTCTTCCATTCAATCAATCAATCAATCAATTTGCGCTGGTTCAGTTTCATGTCCGTAAGCTAAAGAAGAAGCAGAAGAGAAATCAGAATTCAATAGGAGCTTTTCCAAAAAAGAAAAAAGAAAAAAGAAAAATCCCATTAAGAATGTCTATACAAACGTTTTGATCGGAATGTAGTATCATCAAATTGATGTAATCTAACATATCCATCTTCTCCACCAATCGCATAACCTTTTCCTTGAGGATGAACAGCAATCGAATTACAAGGACCGAAGCCTCCTTTGATCCTTGAGACTTCTTCTTCGAAAACTCGATGCCACATTCGGATCTCAAAATGTCCTTGTCTAGCCGATGTTGTCGTCACGGCCATAGCTTCTTGACCTCCACCTACCAATAAATACGGTTTACCTGGGATCAAAGCTACACTGTTCAATGGGGTTTGTGGATCTTGATAAGTTTTAATCAAATCGAGCGTTCGAGTATTGTAAAGCTATAAACGATTGATGATGATCAAACCATTGTAAATCAAAAAATCCAATCAGCTTCATCCCATACAAACCAATTCTTCTTCCGTCTCACTCACCCTTGCACTTTTGTCTTTAGAACTCGTGACGAAATATGTACGATCAGCACTAAGTTGTAAATCCGTGATCAATCCCAAATGATTCTTTTCTCTCGAAATCACCTCTTCACCACTCTCAGCATCCCATAAGGCTACCTTTCCATTCTCATGTCCTGTGATAAGATATTTATCTAGGAATGAGAAAGCAACTACCATAGCTTTTGATCCAACCGGACTGAACATCAAAGTAGGCTCATCGGACTCTAAAAAGGTTAAAAGTAACACATCAGAACTTTCTACCACAAGACGCCTTTCAAGGTTTATCTTGATGGATTCTTATATCACTCACGTGGACTTCCATCACGTGTGATTTCAAAGACTCGTACTGCACCCTGGTGACCCATTCGTTGTTCAGTCACTAATGTCACTTTCGAATCATCTTCACTCCAAGACACTCGTTTGACAGCTGTTGGAAATTCCCTACAGATCGTACCATCCAATCAATTTAAACCAACTCAAGACGATGATCCAAGCGGTGATTCGAATAGACTCAAGAAGTTCGTTTGACTTACCAAGCTTTCAAACATTCACCTGTAGCTACTCTCCAAAGTCTCATTGAATTATCAGCCGATCCAGAAACAAGATACTCTGATTTAGCTATTTCCCCAACCCAAACCAAAAATCAATCATCATTCGAATCCTATCCTCTTCATCATTCTCTTTTTCCTTCAATCTTTAACTTTTCACTCACAATCTACATCTACAGACCAAACCGTTCCATTATGTCCATTATATGTTCCAAGTCTTTCTCCATTATGTGTATACCAAACGTTTATTATATGGTCTTTTGAACACGAAAACAATAGATCTCCTTCTCGATTGTATTTCACTTGTGTCTAGATTTTTGAAATCGAAAAAACAGGGAAAAAAAAGAAGATTAGTCATTCTCATTACTCCAGTTTGGTTTTTGGGTTGAGTTTGGCTTACTAAAGATCTTTCGTGACCTGAAAGTAGGATTGGTCTCATTTTTTTTGTATGAAATTCAAAGACGATTCAGAAAAAAGTTTGTTGAACTGATCGATGTGTTTATGAATTTTCTTTTGATTGATTGATACAATGAACGTGAACCGATAATCGATTGATGGATGGATGTATTCGGTTTGGTATCGGTTTTTTCTAAAACTTGTGGTGAGTCAAAGTTGAGCGTGAACTTTCAATTTCCACTTCTTGGTTTTTTTCTTCGTTAGTGACAGTCACTGTTTTTGACCTTTCACACGTACAGGAATTCTGTATTTCGAAACACGCGCAGACGTATCACACGTGTTACACTCCTCAGCTCAATATCGATCGATCATCAAACGGAAAAAAATGTTTCAAGAGCCAATTGAACTCCATCACGATTCACCGCCTGGCGACCAACGAGACCGGCAAAAGGATTGCCCTCGGCCAGGATCGAACTGGCGATCTCCGGATGGCCCGCGTTGCGGTCATATGGACACATGCGTGATGTATGAGACCGGCGCTCTAAGAGCATCCACAACGGTCCACCTACTTTGCGAGCCCTGGAACAGACCCCCGATCCTGATTTTGTGGATGTAGGGGGTCAAAAAAACAGGTGTCCACAGCGGTGCACTTGAAGTCAGGGGCCAGAACTCGATTGAGTGATATGGTATGCTTGTACCATATCATCTTGTTTCGAGTGCGGTTTGAGACGTGACTATATCGGTCACGTGGAAGCAGTGGCACGTGATATTGGGAGCCCCTATAGACCTCGCAGATGTGGGGGGTCCGGATGGAAATCTGGAGGCCCCCGACGTCTCACCCCCGATTGTGCGAGCTCCGTTGGAGCGTTTTTTTGCGTTTTGACCCCCTACATCGCTGGGGGCCCGCAAAGTAGGTGGACCGTTGTGGATGCTCTAACCAGCTGAGCCACGAAGGCGATGGGCGCTTAAACAATTGAAAAAATTCAAGCCGCCCGGAAGAGAGGAGACAATGGCCACAATGACTTTTCTGGTGCAAGATCAGAATAGGTCAGGTGGTTTTTGCTTCAATTTCTTAAGAAAGCTGGTTGAAAGATTGTTTTGAGTCCATGTATCATGAGAGGTGAATTTGACTGTAATGGCAAGACCGGTATTACATCATGATATGGTGCGATGCAGCGAAGCATAGAGGGATTGTTTTGTTGATTCCTTCCGTTCTTAGAGAGGGAGTTGTGTTTCTTACAGAAAAGATTAAATTAGGCTCTCATGTCTCACATTGCAATTGTCGCAAAGTAAGACATGGGGGGGGATATGTCAAAAGTAATTCAAGAAATTCATTCCAGTCCTCAATCATAAACATACATCTGTTAAGAATAGGGATCTGTTCTAAGAGAATACACAGAGATACGCATGATGAGGGTGCTTGTGAAGGACGAAAAACTGTGCAGATTTGCAACAGCTCGATTAAGCGAGGGTAGAAGAAACAAGCGCGTAGAATGCGGCGCTGAAGAGAGCAACACCAAAGACGGGAACTTGAGTGTTGGCGTCAGAAGTTGCTGTAGTGATAGAAAATGTTAGCTCGGTCAAAAATGGCAACGAGAGAGGTGTACTTACGAGGAGGGTTGGCGCCAGGAGCGGGGGCAGCAGTGCCAGTGCCGGTGCCGACGTAGCTTGTGGTGTTTGACGATCCGGTCGAATTGGTGACACCGGGGGTAGCCTGAAGCGTACGATCATGAGCATGGTATTGTCATGTTGGTAGCAAACAGAGATATACTTACAACAGGGTGACCAGCAGCTACACAAGTAGCAGCTCCGATGGTGACGGTAGCGTTAAGTTCGGTGGCGTTACAGTCCTGCAAGCAGATCAGTGGTTAGCCTTGTAGTCTTCACAGAGGGTAAAACAGAAGGGCAATACCTTTTTGTCTGATGTGCAAATGTATCAAGATTTGATAGGAAGGAATAATTAGAACAGGTCGAAGTGCGGCGAACTGATAAATAAAGTTAGCTTACAGCAGGCAAGTACTTGGGCTTCAAAGTCTTGGTCAGTGCAAGAGCAGGCCAAGTCGGCTGGGTCTGCGATGATGATGTCGCAAGGTTAGTAGACAGCTCGCTCGCCAAATGGGCCTTTGAGATGTGGACACTGAGACTAACTAGTGCACTTGGTAAGGGGGGCAACTTTCAATGTGCAAGCGACAGCACATTTTGGTAGATTGGCCTGTGAGAGAAAGAGACATTAGTATGTGCATATGATGTACGACCAACAAGAGGGGTCACAGAACAAGCGTAGAACAAGACAAAGAATGCTTACAGCAGCGTTAGCAATGGCTGCGGCATTTCCGGCTGCGCCACCACCTGTGGTGGAATTGTCACGAGCGACTAATGCACCGGCAGCCAGAGCTGGAATGAGGGAAACGGTGAAGAAAGCAAGCATGATTTTCGTGAAAAATGTAGTAAAGGTAATAGTGATGATGGTATTGAGATGAGGAGTGGGGGGAGTTCGTTAACAAGAAGAATCGTCCAACAATTTGTTTGTTATATGGTGTTCAAGAATGTGTATGGGAAAGTTAGAGTTGGAAATTGTCGCTGTATATACAAAATCGAACCTCGACCACAATGAAAAAAATCGAACTCAATCGAGTCCACCCGACGTCAAGATTCTGCTGCGATGTGAGAATGCCCCTCTTTTTCAAATTGTATCAGACCAGCGCGAGAGCCAAGCCAGTGGTCGAGTCAAAGAAATGTCATTTGTCATCATTGTTATCTCACAATACGTTTAATCAAAAAATCATTTTGTTTTTGTTTTTCTTTCTATTGGCAATTTGGAAATTTCTCAGCCAACTTCCAACTCCGTCCCACGAATCTCATGGCGTCACTAATTTGTCAAAACGTTTTTCCAGCTTCACAACCGATGCCTGATCAGCTCAAGCGCCCCCTCATAAGTACACCTCTGTACAGCCGTCTCTCCCTTGTATACTAACTTTGCTAAAAAGCTTGCCCGGTTCGACCGCGAACAAGAGACAAGAGAGCTCGAATTTGGCCGCAGCCTGCTGCGAGGCCGCTGCGCAGCTCGACAAGAACCCAAGTTTGGCCGATCACCGATTCTGAAAGAGATCGACTTCACCTGTGGATCTCTGACATTGAGATATGTTGAAATCAATCATAAAGCACAAATATCTCCCTCATCATGATGGAATCATGCTCACAGGTCTATGCGATTTCTATCGCGCTGCGAATGTTATCGAGATTTGTTTTAATTCCATTTTAAGAAAGCGATTCTCGTTGAACGGCTTAACAATGCGTGACTAGCCAACGTGGGTGCTTCTGCCATCTTGGGTTCAAGGCCGAGCAGCCTAAGTTTTTTTGCTAAAATTCCGAAATGAAATCAAGGCTTACATCTTGGACATTTGTCAATCCAATCATCATCCTATGGTGAGCTCTTGACTGAGCAAGAAGAACAAAAGTTTTTTAAAAAAACATGTCGTCCTTTTTGGACTTGTACTTGTTTGTCTCATAGAGCCAAAACAAAAAAGCACAAAAGTTTATCAAGGCTTGAACACACTACTAATGAGGGGTCAAGAGTGTGAAGACAACCATCTAGGCAGACCATTATACCAGGGAGACTATGAAACATCACAGACTATGAAACATCACAGCACTTTTGGTCCTCGATATCATCGAATGAGAGCTGAATTTGACTGTATGGTTGATCTGGACATACCAAGCTCCAGATATGCTGTGAATATAGTCACAATGTGTCTCAAAATGGTTCAAAGTCGGAGATCCATGGGTGAAGTCGATCTCTTTCAGGATTTGTGATCGGCCAAATTTGGGATCTTGACGAGCTGCACAGCGGCCTCGCAGCAGGCTGCGGCCAAATTTGACCTCTCATGTCTCTTCTTCGCAATCAAACCGGGCAAGATTTTTAGCAAAGGTAGTAACAGTGAAGAATTGGTTGAATACCACCTTTATCGAAGGGAGACGTGTGTCTCCCTTCGTCTCTCCCCATCTCGGAAATTTTCTCACCTAGATACGCCGACTTTGCCAAATTCCCCTAAGATTTATGCCCGATGTACTCGGACATCACCCTTGTCGAACGGGTCCAGGGCATATCACCCATATGCGGTATTACCAACAAGCCGAAAGGAACTATGTCATGCATATAGTTCCAACTCGGCCAGTCTCCGCAACACTTTGATTCACACAGCAACCAGCCAACCGCTCTGTTCCCTCAAAAGATAATCAACAAGCACACCACTTGGAAACAAGTCAAGCAGCACGACAAAGGAACAAAACATACACGTGGCCTCTGGACTCACGATATAAAAGTTGTCGACTATCTTCGATCATTACTCCTTCGAACCAAACCTCCTACCACTCGATCATCCTCATTTGAAAGTGATCGTTGCATTTTCAACGCCTTCATTGCTTCCAACTGTTTGTACACTGTCTTCGAACTCATCACTACACCGTTACTCAAGTTGATTTGTTCGGAAATCTCGTTTCAATGCCACAAAAAAACGAATCCCGGATCTATGGCGACGTCAAGCTCTTTAAGAAAAAACAAAAACACCAACGCCAGACCGTACAAATTAACACCGACACAGACGCTCAAGTTCTTAATGTTGCTCAAACACTCGGAATGATACCACCTGGTTCTGTGCCTCAACCTGCACCCGAACTTCCACCTGAACTTCTACCCAACCCTCCAGATCAGGATGCTGATGGTTGGGAAGACATCGACGATGTCCCAGAGTACTTGAGAGAATTCATTCCTAACCCTCCTCCACACTCACCTATCATCGATCCCGACTGTAATAACTTTTATCGAAGGCATCGAGGACTTCTAGCAATTCAACAGCGAAGTAAACTATCCAACGCGTGGAAATCTCTCTTACCCCAACTCACTGTCATCTACCTTGAACGACAACATCACACCTTGAATTGGTCAACACACACTTCCTACTTAAATTATCACCCAAAGTGTTCATGCATGATCTTTACTACTCGAGAATTTGATTTGGTTGGTTTGGCAGGTGAGTTCATGTAGTCTTATGACTTCTTTTGTTCCTCAGACTGACATGCTCCCAATTATTAGGCCGAATGCGTAAACAAGTCGTACGAGTCTGCTCGTGTATGTCTCTTCCAATGCGATTGATGCACTACGGCTACCTTGCAGGATCCCCCAATTTACCCACTGTTGCCTTTTCCATACCCGTAGTTCAGCTCTTCCACGAGCTCTGGAAGAAGACAACACTATCTCTAAGCGGATTTTTGGAAGGATACATGGTGTTTCTTGACTCGCGATCTGAGAAATACCTGCATACCCGTAACTCCAATTATACAAATCAAAATCTCAGGCGTCAATTTACTCAGGCTGTTGATGTGTACCGAAGTATCCTCAAGCAACAGAAGATGGTTTATCAACATGCGCTAAACTTGTCATCATCACAAAAGCTTGCAGATCAATGTCCTAGGTGTTTCGGTCCAGCATGTGGCGAAGTCAAAACTTCACCCAAAGAACTTGATTTCATATTGGCGATGGATGGTAATTTCCAACATCGTCATCACCTCAAAGCGTCTACCGATCAACCTGCAGAAGAAGATTACCCATCTTTATTTATAACTCCCTTGCACATATCAATCCACGAGCGTAAAGTTGAAGATACAGCTTCTCAAGCTAAAGGTCTCAAGGTGAGCAATTTTTTACTTGATCTTTATTTTATTTTATTGTATTTTGAGATTAGCTGATTCCATACTTTTTCTCCCAGACGGCGTGCTCTGAATCACACACCGCGGCAGATGATGTTCGCAACAGCTCGTCTTGGGAACAATGTGATGACACAGGCGTTTTTGGGAGTACCTGTCGCCATGATGTTCCTTTACGGTTCGTAAACATCTACAAAAGTGGAGAGAAGTGAGTCCAAAGGGTCTCCATTTTACAAATACAATTTACTGACTATTTGATCCAACTTAGGCTACATTATGCAATAACCATTCTTGACAATATACTTGAGGCCTTTCCTGAAGCGCGAGTTGGTTGTTTATACGATATTGGATGTCATCTCGATGTTCATATGGAAAAAGTCAGTTAAATTTCTTTTTCTTGTTGATGTACAATCAATCTGATCAAATTGTCTTGATTCAGCGAAAACTTCTCCCACAGTACCGAGATCAACTTGCCTTTGCTACGTCAGTCTTCCATGCGTATGCACATCAGTGGCCATGTCAGATCATGTATCATCCACGATTCATCAAACACTTTGGATTATCCGACGGAGAGGGGCTTGAAAGGCTGTGGTCATTTTTATCAGATTTAGTTTCACTTAATAGGGTCTGCACACGACTTCATCGGCTTCAGTCCATCAATATACGTGCTGAACTGTATGGTGAAGAGCTTACATTTTCATCTGGTACGTGAACAATCTGCCACTGTAGATTTATAAACCTAACTGACGTGATTCGAAACTTCAGCAAAATGGCTAGTGAAAAAATATCACAATGCTGTCGAAGTCTTTGGGCTGTCCCAAAACGCCTTACTCAATCTCTACAAACTCAACAACCCAGCAAATGATCAAAGATATTTGAGTAAATTTTTCCGTGAGCAGTGGGAATCCGAACGCGCAGCACAAGGTAGTAAAAATCATCACCTGGATATACTGCGCTTGAAATTAGTAAATCTTCTTTGCTTACGAGATAATTTTCAAAAGCAGTGGTAAGTCTTTATCGGAATTTTGGTCAGTAAGATTTCTACTGACAAGATGATAATAATAGGAGGGCTATCAATTTCAACGCTGAACAAGAAGCCATGCGTGTACAAACATTAATTACTCTCAATCAACAAATTCAAGAAGCAAGCCAAAAAGTAGGCAGTGCAGGTGATACGATCTTTGCTAATAGTAAGTGATTTTATCTCATTTCCTTGTTATTTCCATCATATTGACAATATGTTTGTTTTTAGAAGATCATAAGGAGGTCATGTTAAAGCTATGGAGCAGTAAGCACGAGTTGCGAAAGAAGTTCATAAGTGTATGTGAAGAAAAACGGCCCTTACAACTCAGTCGAACCGATGGTAGGTCTTCCAACCTAGGTAAGTTTTTTCCAATTAGATGAGATACAAAACAACTTGATGGTCACTGATTAATATGTATATGTAGGGACCAGTCGGAAATCAATTGTGATCAACGCTGTGAAAAAGCACGCGATGGCGCTCAAAGGAACTCTTGAAACTTACCTAACTCAGCTGGCAAATTATCGCAAGGTTTTTCCAACCAACATAGTACCAGACCCAGCCTTAATGGACCACAATCGGCTGCTCGTGCTAGAGCCTGATGCACCATTTTGGAATGATGGCTTCATCACACACGCCAATGAGCCTTGGGCCATCGATCCCAACACACAGCACGGTATGAGGCAATTAGCATATTATGAACGATCAAAAGAAGAGTTACGTCGCATTGGATGGGAGATCAGGCAATCAATGCGATGGGCAACTCAACAACATATATCTTTGATGGACATATTTCAAGACCTTAGGAAGTCAGAACCAACTTCTGATGCTGCTCGAGCATTTTTGTCTTCGCCCTTTCTCTCTTCACCTGACCCGACCACGATATCAGATGCAGAAACTGTGATTGTATGGACTCGCCTAGTTGATGTCTTACATCTACAAGAGGTGTGGAATCTGGACCTTATGGAAATCTTTCTCAAAACCGATCTTCAAGATGGGGATGGGGAACTCCTTGAACAATGGAATTCTCAAGTCGCTTTGATTGCCAGAATGCGTGCAAATGGCAGTCTAACTCCAGTCCTCGGCAATTTCTCGACTATCACGGTGGAATCTTTTGAATCCGACTCTGACCCGGATGCCACCGACACCGATCACACAACAGCTGACGAAATTGAATCTTCAGATGCTGGATCTAGTGACGATGAAGAGCTGCGGATTTTGGAGGAATTGAATGAAGAAGATGCACTTAGTGCTCTATCCAGTGCACTCAATTTGACTAATTTGAACAATGATGATCCTGACGCATCAGATGTGCCTCTGCCTTTTGTTAACTGATTAGTTTCTTTTTTGTTTAATTATGTTTTTTATTTTATATCTTCTATCATCCTGTTCTCCAAATATGTGCGTGGATTAAAGTTGTTTAAGAATTAGCAGTTATGTACACACACGTTGATGATATGGTACTGTCAACAAATTCAATGATACACAATGATAAGCTTCAATTGCTTGATTATATTTCTTTTTGGTTTGCCACAAAAGGGATTGAGGTAACACATCTTGGTCAATATTGATCTGATTAAGTTGATCCCCTTTTGAAAGAGTTTCAGAAGAAAATTTTATGTAGGCTTGATCATTGGTGTTTTTATTAATAATGACATCTTGATACAAAATTACAACTTCTCCCCACCATTACCAAATATTGATATTGTATTTAAACCAACAAACAATACAATTAATCAGTGGTTATTGATGCAGAACAGTCCATTCCGGTTGGTGTAAGTTAATAATAATACGGCAAACATCTATCAACCATACTGCACCAACCATCACATTTCTGAGTCATTTCAAAGTGATATAACCCGTAAAAAACATGTTTAGGGGTAAGGTGTTGAGAGCACAAAAAATCTCATAACTTGATGGTGATTGGTGATTGAGGGTTGATTGTTGTTCAGAAATGTTTTCAAATGTATTTCAAAGAATGATGAACCATACTTTCATCCAACTCACTCTCACTCACACACCTAGATAATCTTATGTTGGCACATTCAGCATGGAAACAGAATATATATCACTTTTGAGAGACCAAAAAATCTCTTAACCTGGTGGTGAGTGGTGATTGAGGGTTAATTGTTGGTCAGAAATGTTTGCAAATATATTGCAAAGACTCATGAACAAAACTTTCATCCAACTTACCCTCACTCACATGCCTGGATAATCTGATGTTGGCATATTCAGTGTGGAAACACGATGTATATCACTTGTTGGAAACAAAAATTTGGTCAGATTTCAAAGTCATGTTGGGCTGATTTTTCAATAATAAACCCCCCCTAAAAAACCGTCAAAAAATCAATTCAACAGTCAAAAACACCATAACTTCAAAATTGGCTGAGATATGTGCATGGGGAAAAGTGCGTAGAAAGCTATTTTGCCCCTAAAGTCCATCAAGATCAACCAAAATTAAAGAAGTATTATATCAAACTCACTTCAAAATTCTTTTCTGAATATTTTTCATTGATACATATTCGAGTTTGGACCAGTATTTAATGAGTTATACCTCTTTTATGTGGTTTACACCATTTCAAAAATACACATAATTGCACATAAGACCTTCAAAAACTGGGAATATTAGAAAGTCCACATTTGAAACTCATTTTATATTTGGATTTGTAACATTTTTCATCTATACATCAATAGGTTTAGAGCAATATTTCCTGGTTTATACTAGTTTTGTGTAGTTTGTACCATTTTGAAATCTTACAAAACAGAGCATAGAGTATTCAAGAAATGGAAATATGAGAGATCTGTTGTTTTGAACTATTGTTGAATTTTTGTTTTACACATTTTTCATTAATATACAAATATATTCTGAGCAATATCGAAAGAGTTATATCACTTTTATGGGGTTTGTACCACATCAAAATTGTGCAAAATAGCGCACAAGACCTTCAAAAAGTGAAATTATGAGAATCCTGGTATTTCAAACTCATGTTAAAATTTCTATTGCAACATTTTTCATCAATGCACTTATAGGTTTGGAGCTATATTGACTGAGGTATACCACTTTTATGTGGCTTGTATGATTTTGGAATCTTACAACATAGCCCATATGTCCATCAAGACCTTGCGATATGAGAGAGCCGTGTAATCAAACTCTTTTTAATTTTTTCTTTTAACATTTTTTATTAATGCATAATTCACTCTGGATCAATATTGACTGATTTATTCCAATGTTGTGTGGTTTATACAATCTCAAAACTGCATGTAATCACACATATCTCCTTGAAGAACTGACAATATGAGAAATGTATGATTTTAAACTCATGATGATTCTTTTTCTGAATCTTCTTTGTCATTTCATTATTAACTTTGGTGGAATGATGGCCAAGTTACATCACTTTAATGAGATGTGTACCAATTTGTAACTTCCCATTTTTGCATATATGTCCATCTGAAACCAACATTATGACTAAGGTGGCTTATCAAACTCATTCTGAATTTTCATTCTGAAAATTAATCATCAACACATCACGAGCTTTGGAGCAATTCTGACAAAGTTATAACACTTTTATGTGGTGTGTACCATTTTAAAACTTCATGTTTTAGTCTGGATGGCCTTCAAGAAGCAATATTATCAGAAAAGTCTCATAGTAAGATCATTATGAAATTGGATTATGAGAAACTTTTGTTATTTCATCATCAAGCTTGGAGCACTTTTGGTTGAGATATACCATTTTTAGTGGTTTATACCATTTCAAAGAAAGATGGACTTGGTCATTTCGATTTTTTTTCTTTATTTCAAATTTGCAGGTTTTGGGCGAGTTTTGATATGTTTTATTAACTTAATTAGGTGTTTATCCTCTGCCTTAGGACAACTTTTGTTTTCTTAAGTTGCTTTTTGTTTTGTTAAGCTGCTACTTTACAACTGTATCTTGAAAACCAACCTTCGTGTTCTACAATCCCTAAGATTTTTGAAGTTTACTCATTCTTCTCATTCCACCTGATCGCACAATGGACTCTCAAATCCCACAACCACATCAACGTTTTCCTCAACAACCGTTCCAACAAACGCCTCAACCTCATCAGCATCTCACACCTTCTCGACCTTTGGAGCCAATGCATCCAGCTCGTCCTCCTTTTCAGGCAATCGATTCAGCACATCAAGATCCTTTGCATCAAAGGTTTAATTCTATGCTTCAACCACATCAAACATTTCAACCTCAAGGACCTCATCAAAGTTATCAAGCTCAAGCTCAAGCTCATCAAGACTATCAATCTCATCAATCTCATCAATCTCATCAATCTCATCAATCTCATCAATCTCATCAATCTCATCAATCTCATCAATCTCATCAATCTCATCGAGGTTATGAAGCTCAAGCTCATCAACAACATCAAGCTCAAGTCCATCAACATCATCAAACTCTTGACCCGAATCAAGATCTCTCTCAGTGTTTTGAACATGATTATAATGGTTTCTCTCATAATCAAATACCCCGACCTACCAATAACCAAGCTATACCTCAAGATTGATCCAATCCTCATCAAGCTTTCAATCTCAATCAGATCGAGCCACAATCTCGAAATGTGCACAACTCCTCCTCGATGAACACAATTTCAACATTCTCTCAACATCCACCTTCTCATACTTCTGTTCGTTCTGTTCGTTCTGTTCCTGCCGTTCCAGACTCGCAAACAACCAAATCAACATCCAAGAAGACAGGTGTTGATGCTGCCAAGGACTCGACTTTATCAACTCGGAACGTTCTCAACGGGTTTTTACCAAACACAGCCTACAATCATGGACTTGACCTTCAAAATCAAGGTCTCAGCGCCGAAGAATTAATGGAACAAAAGTCTCTAGATCAGCTTCGAGTTTCCGCCAACCAAGTTGGCAAAAGGACATTATCAGGGGATGATGAAATACACTTTCGGAAACTCCACGAGCAAATGACCAAAGCTTTAGCAATTAACTGTATTGGTAGAGGAGTCAAAATGTCAGCTGTTGAAACATACCTGTACGTCTTTCGTTTCTCGAGTTTTCATTATACAGACCTTTCACTGATAGATATGTTTGAACTGCTTGTTCCTGTAGAGGTCACAAGCTGTCCTTCCGAGACCCCAATCGTTGGCATGGCTTCACTCAAACACCCGAAAACCGAGCGGTTTACCGAGAGCGTAAGTACTGTATCATATTGATTGATATGGACTCTGGCTGACAAACTCGCTTATCCTGTTTTGATATCTAGATGGGGGTGTTAAAAGTGGTGTAGCTGTCAAGATCCTCAAGTCCGAATATGATAAACTCACAGAAGAAGAGAAGGATCAATACAAACCCAAATCAAAGCTCAAAGTCATCATTGAGCGAGGCGAGGAAGAGCAAGCTATCGACGAAGACGGTGGGGATTCCGCCCAACCAGGTGATGGTGATCACTCAGCCATCCCAATGCGCAAAAAGTCTCGATCTTTTGTCGAGGATCAGGACGTAGTCACTAAGTGGTTGAAAAATGTCAATTCAACTGTAAGTGCACAGCCTACATATCAAATAAACTATACTAATGACTGCTTCCTTGCTGTAGATGCATCGGCTGGCTAATACTTATCATCTTGAGGGATTTATCATGCTAGTGTCAACACACGTCGCTCATGGTTCCCTTCAACTGATCCGAGCGACTCCGGGGGCTCTGAGATGGCACGATGCGACCAAACGTGTGAATCCGCGAGATAACTGTGTTACCAATCTTCAATCATATATCCTTGGACGGAAAGTGGGACTTGTAACTGACGCTTCATTAGAAAAAGGTATGTGTCTCTCATTGTATTTCCACTCTATCTTTACATCAATATTCCATAGCTTATAAGGCAAACTGTCACCTTGAATGTAGATAAATCCTACAAAACACAAGCCAGAGAACTGCTAGCAAATAGGCTTAGTAAGTTTTTTTTCATCGCAGCATAAATGTTACATCACATTAACTGACATTTATGTTGTTGAATCAGGCGAGATTTCAAATGAAAAACATACAAAATGGCCCAGGAAAAATTGTGTAGAAACCCTCAGCGGTTGGGGCTATGAAGTCACCCTTCTGCCAGGTGCTTGTTCTCAAATCGAGTGGACAACTTCTCAAAAGGGAAGTAATGCACTCACCAACCCACAGGCGCGAATGATCCTAAAGGACTTGCGTATGGATTTGATCCAGCTCAGTCGACTCCCTAACTCGTCGGTATCAACAGACTCGACCCCGTTGGCTAGAAAACGACTTCGTTCTTCTTCTGATGTAGAAGATGAAGAAGAAGAATAATCATAATAATGACAATACAAAGAGAAAGATTTCATTTGAAGAACCGCTTAATTTTGTTCTTTTCTTTTATCTCTCATGTTATCTCTTTTCTTTTGAAGAACTGTTTCTTTCTATTCGTTTCTTTTATATCTTGTGTTATCTCTTTCATGTTCTCTTCTCCTTTCAATGGGTCAAAGTGCTGTTTTTTAGGTCATGCTGATCTTTTAGCTCGCACTTTTTTTTTTTTTTTCATCGGCCCAATTTACTTACTTCTTTTCTTTTCTGCTCATTTGTTTCCTCTTTTTCTGTTCATGCTGACTCGCGAGCAATGTCAATAATCGATTGGTCTCTACTAAAAAATGAATTTCACTGTCATGATCTGAGAGTTGTGAGGAAATACATGTCTGAACTCGTGAAAGAAATAACCGGTTTTCCAATAACAATACAAAGTTGAATGAAATTGAAGTGGCAGTGAAACAAATTAGTCACCCCTCGTGGTGTTAGTTGATTTGACAAACTCCTTTGCTTGTCTTCGAGCGGTGTTGTGCGGTCGCGATAAGAAACAAATCAAAAGTTGGATGACCTCTCGTGGTGCGGGTTTATTCGACGAGCCATTTTTTTGTTTTCGAGCGGTGTGCGGTTGTGGTAAGATGTCTGGTATGTATTACTATCTTCTCCCAGAATCAAGAATCGTTTGGCATGTTGGTAATACCGCATATGGGTGATATGCCCCGGACCCGTTTGACAAGGGTGATGTCCGAGTACATCGGGCATAAATCTTAGGGGAATTTGGCAAAGTCGGCGTATCTAGGTGAGAAAATTTCCGAGATGGGGAGAGACGAAGGGAGACACACGTCTCCCTTCGATAAAGGTGGTATTCAACCAATTCTTCACTGTTATACAAGGGAGAGACGGCTGTACAGAGGTGCATACAGTCGTTCTCAGAAATGTTGGAAAAATCCAACATTTCGAGCTGAGGTCGTGGTCCCGAGGAGGCGACTTTTTCATGACATGTGTCACGGAAAAGTCATGGCAGCTGTCGAGTGGAGATCAGTGTCCCTTTCACCAACCTCAACTCCCTTGTGTCCTCTCCATGCCATCCTTCCTCTGATCCTCAGCTCGTGTTACAACCCCTTAACCATGAAATCGTATGTTTTCACCGTTTTTCTGAAGACATTGGTCCGTTAGCCTGGCCATTGGCAAGATAGTAGTCTGGTCATCGAGGTATGATGGAAAGTAATCGAATTTTCATCTTGAGATACCTGTCAAAATCAAAGTTTTTGTCAGTGTTTGTATCTGCGTGTCACTGCTCAGCGCACGGACCCCGAGCTCAGCTCGAGATCAGCCTGAGCCCCGGACCAGCCCCCCGATCGGGGACCCTACGGGGTCCCCGATAGGTCCGGGATTCGGGCGGAGGCTCTACAACCCCCGATGATCGGGGATCCCCGCGAGTCGGGTGTCGGGCGTAGAAATCGAAAAAAATACTATCCGCCGGGTACCCGACGAGTAAAAAATGTATTTAAAACACTCCATCACAGGTAAAAACTACCTAGTCCATTGTCAGGGGAGGCCCTACCAAGCATATGGGAACCTTGCCAGCACTGCCATGGCTGTGATGTGAGGCCCTGAGTGCAATTTAAACATCAAGTGGACACTTTTTTTCGATGTATTTGGCATCAATATCGATAAATGACCCGGTCCGGTGTTCAAACCTGGGTGAGGGACCCTTTTTGGTCCAGCCAGCGAGTCCCCGGCGGGGAACCCGGTCGGGGTTCGGGCAGACAATTTTTCAAAAAAAACTCGTTCGGGGACCCCCGAACGGGCTTGGGAGGTCTCTCTACCCGTCGGTTCGGGGGCCGGGCAAGCCACTGCTCGACGGGTAGCGATCGGGGCTCGGGCTGAGCTCGAGATTTTGCAACTTTCCAACATTTCTGAGAACGACTGTAAGTAAATTCCACAAAGTCCCGCAACTGACGTTCGGGAGTCAGCGTGGGACTCAAGAGTGAGCGCGGGACCTTGATTTTACACTGCACTCAAAGCGTGCAAGATGCGTGTGACTTTGTTGCTTTGGTGAGTCTACATAGCCCCCTCACCTCTTTTAACTTTGATTCGGGATGGGTAGGTGGCTGTAGGCGTAGTGAAGGCTGAGCCGGGTGAATAAGTGGTGGAATGTGTGTGTGTCACGTGCTATGCGGCGGTGTGGCTTTGACTTTGACTTTGAGAGAAGAAAAGAAAATGAAGAAAAGCACATGTGGAAAAGGAAAATGATGTGCGGATACCATCCACTGCGCCACTTTAAAAAATTATTTTTTGACGCACTGTGAATCTATGTACTAGGGTTTAGAAGCACCGAGAGTCTAACACGGGTAAGGCTTATAATGCAAGAATAAGGGATATAAGTATTATACAAAGGCAAGGATTAGGCAGAAGGTACTATTTAGTGAGAAAGGAAAGAGCAAGCTGCAGATTGGATTGCAACAAAGAAAGGTCTGCCTTTGATAGGCAAGACTTTTGTCGTAAAATCTCATCCCAAGTTACAAGATAACCACACAGTGTAAGGCCAGAATTGGCATACAGATAAGGAAGCAGGTTGGATGGAAAAGGGTATCAATAAGATATCAATATAATAAGGAAGATATAGAGAAAAACAAGTGTGTTCCATGAGATGGTTCACCACTTCAAGAAACCTGGATGTGGTATAAGTTACACAGATCTGGAGGTTTCACAACTGGGAGAAAAGTCTGTCACTCTATCCCCAAAGCCCTCTGACTGGCTCCCTGCCAAAAGAATTGGGTCAGTTGAGCAGGTACTTTGGTATTTTTTATGCCATGGCATCTCTAGAAATGTCCATTTTGGAACTCTTCAGCACGGGAAACAAGGGGCCGTTTCAGGACCCCAGAAAGCTCCAAGGAAACTATCTGACCTAAAACCACTAAAAATGACCTTTTTGATGCCCTGTGACATAGTAAAAACCCAAAAATTGAGCTTGAACAATTTGGGTTGTGTTGGTAGGTTCAATTTGGTGGTATGTACATTCATAAGAGTGTGTTTTTGTCCTTTTTTGACCCAAGACAAAACCATACCTTTCACGTCGGTAGGTCCAAATTCAAAAAAAAACAATTTTGGCTTGTAAAAAAACAAAAATACCTTTTTCATAGGTAGGTCAGGGCTTTTTTGACCCTCAATAGCCCTCAATCCATTCTTTTAAATTTTAGGTCTGCAAGAACCTGGAGCTTCCCCAGGTCCTGCAATTTTATTGTATTTAACACGGCCAATGAGCCAAAATGTATTATTTAGGCATTATTTCTGCTTTATCTGTGTTTGGCTCAGAAACTGCATTAAATGTGATCAGTCTTCCCATGGAAAACTCATCTCCTGTGTCCTGTGCAGGTGTAGAGGGACCAAGAAATGGTAGTAGTACTCATGAAGCCATACAAGCACATTTGCAAAAGCGATTGCACTGTCAGGATTAAACACTCCCACAATTGGGATTATGTTTCATTTTTTGAATAATTGATTTGTCATATAAATGCCAATTAATTATTGCAAAAAAATACATTATTCCGTTTGGGAGAGTGTTCAATCCTGGTGGTCGTGATTTAAACCCCAGACCAGTCAAACCATGGGTTGATTTGGGCCTAATACAGGCAGATATCATGGCTTCACATATTAGCTATGTACTTAACATCATAGTCAAGTCAAGTACAGCTATTTCAGGAATCGGTGTCATGGTCACACCAATTCCTGGTCTTTTCCCCCCAGCGCCACCGGCAAATACAGGAATTGTGCAGTGCAGCACAGTGTCAGCTGTAAAGGGGTGTGGACTTGTATATCCGGCTCAATCGGATGCCCTCCTGTACCGGACGTCTTTTTTTGTTTGGGGGTATTTGCAAAACCCGTTCAGTCACCCACCATATCTATCCACCACCATATCCACCATGACACCTACAACCTTGTCCACCACATTCACCGGGATATTGATATCAATCCAAGCCCATGGTCCATCAACTTGACCCAAACAATTGAAAGTGGTTCTATGTTTGGTCAAACATTCATTCACCCACCGCTTCTGTCATGCAAAAGGAACCAAACACTCACTGCAACCACAAAGTGACCAATTCTGGCGCCCTCACCCCTTCCGGCTCACAATCTTCTTTGGTATCTTCCTTGAACCCCCATCTCAACCCTTTGATCTGTGACACACTCGATTCTTCACAATCAACCCCGGCTCTTTCTCCTCTAATTGTCTGCTCAACGTTTACCACTGCTGCCAAACTGATCTGTGAAGCTAGTTCCTCAAAGAAGAGGTCAGCTACGGTGCTTGACCTGGACTCTGACCACAAGGACAAACATGATGGTAGGTCAAATGTTTCACTGGTTTCATTCCTGGAATGATTTATATACTGGCATTCATGCTATGTAGAACTAGATCAGGAAGATGATGATGAGGACAAAGATTATGGTCAGCAATTGTTTCTATGTTTCCTTTACCCACATGAAGGTTGAACTGACATTCATCTGGTCTATATCTAGCTGTCAATATGCTTGATCACCAAGACAAAGATGATGGTAAGTACATGATTGTTTCTCTTTTCCATTTACCCTCAAGGATGTCAAACTGACATTCATGATTGTTAGATATACCTCTAGACATGTTTGATGACCCAAAACCAATCCCTGATGCCCCGGTTTCTTGTCCTGTTGACTTGCAACCTAATGAATCCAACATAACCAAGCGTACACATACATTCCAAGTTTCATTCAATCTCTGTCAACCATTAGTTCCCAAAGAGCCCGAGCCTTATGCTTCAAACAGGAAGAAACAAAAGAAAGCTCAACCGCCTTGTAAGACCATAGTTCCCAAGTTTGAGAACTAAAAATCCAAGGTCCCCCATAGGTTTGTCATCACAACACCCAATCTTCACTTCACTGTATTCAGATCTGGCCTTTTCAGATCCTGCAACAAAAGACTTGATGGGGTTCCCGAATCCCTTAGGAAAGCCTGGCATGCCAATACGGTTGAGATTCAGGGAGTCATATATGGCTCTCGTCACCACAAGGCCACCAAGATCAGCATTGATGATAATGATAGTTTTCAAGAATTCATTGGCATTACTCAGTCTGTCCTTGCAACCACAGTCATGGGATTCAAAATCTACCACAAAAACCCTAAACTTACTTTGAACGCCCAACATAACTTAGAGATTGTGTGCAAGAGTCTTGCCCCTGCCCCTAAGGTACCTTCTTCTGATTCTAAAGCTCACCCGGAATCAGACAACTCAGCCAGGGTAAGCTTCTTTTTTGATTTTGCTAGCCTCACAGGTCACCTGAGCTGACGTGTACCCTGATTGAAT